TTATCTTTGTCCTATTTTCCTGCTTTCAAAGTTTAGCCATTCTTCAAGTCCAACTTAAATGCCATCTCATACTTAAGCATCTGTAAATAATTAACAAAACTCTTGCTCTATGAACAAAATTGACCTTAGGTTAACTTTCTAGCTCTGTTCCTGAGGAAAGATAATGGTGCAATATACTATTAGACAAGATTGCTTATGGTATTGATAAAAATGAGCCCTAAGTGGTTAATTACACTCAGATTAGAAGAAACTACAAATACCTGGTTGGAAGACACGCATCGTGCTTCTCTGAATGCAATGACTCTTTTTAACTGGGGTATGTCTCTCGCAGAGACCTAGAAACTATGTCTATGGAGTTATTATGAGAGACAGCGGTTCCTGTTGTACATGAGATTCTAGGCCAGGGTAGCTCTTGCACTTGTCTCCTGCACCTGAGCTATTGTCTGTGTGTGCAGGATAATTCTTGGATGGCTGTGTGAACTGCCATGAGGACTACACCCATGGAAGAGAAACACTTCATGATGCTGGATTGGCAAGCTATTTTTTTCCTGTATGCTTTTGAGTAAACTGGTGCCAAGTGTGACCTCTTCAGGTCTTATGAATCCAAATATTTGATTAGGTCTAAAAAGGTCCCTTTGACAGGTATCAGAGATCCATTACTTAGCTGACAGCTATTCCTTTTGTGGGGCTCTCCACCCCATTTCAAGATCTTTGAGGTTAAAACCTTCTCTTTTTCATCTAGCAAAGTCTCTTGTATTGTTTTGTAATCTGGATGAATCACTTAGGCAATCTAAATCTATTTTTTCACTATTAATAGAGAAATAGTTATTTCCTATCTCGAAGGGTTGCTGTGGTAATTAAGACGCAGAAATGTTTCCTAAGCAGTAAGATGCTATGTCTAAGCAGTAATACATCATTATACTAACACATTAATTAGTATTTTTCTGCTAATAGTATCCCTATGAATATAGTAATATTGAACAGTTCATATACTAAGACTGATTTTCATTCCAACCTTCAAATAATTAGTGAGAACAATTTGATAAAGGAGGGCCATCCTGATATAAAGCTGACGTCATACTAAGAGAACTATCTTGCCCTCTTTCCTCCAACCCAGAGTCTGTCTGGTCTGCTTTTAGGACAGTACAAAATTGTTTGCTTCTTCCTTAAGTCATTCTTTTGCCAAAAGTAAAACAGTTCAACTCCACTTCTATCCCAAACAGTGGGAGTAAGACATGTAAGTTGTTTGAGCATTTAGTGAGTTGCTAGAAATATTTTAAGCCAGAGAACTGGAAGTGAAGTGATAGCTGAAATCGCCCTTTTATACTCCTGGGACCTCTTAGATCAAGTACTAAAGGACAGAAGCAGCCGTTATCAAGAAATATTTTAGAAATTCTCAGGTATATAAAAGAAGGTAGATTAGAGAACCAGAATTTTATAATTTGGGAGGTTTCGCTTTTATGTAGCAGTAAAAAATATCACTTAACAAGCAGAAATCAAACTTGTTCTACTTGTGGTTCGAGAAAGGACAATTAATCAGTACTCCAGATACCTAACGATACAGGGACAGTGGTTGTACCTGGGCCAACCACTGAGTTTCATCACATGCTTCCCCTTAACAAAAGGCTATTTTTGGCTCCTTTCTGTATAATACTGGACATAGATAATGTCCAGTGTATTTCTCTGTACCTATTCCAATTCTAGTCTTCCTTAAGCTTTAAATGTGATTCCAAATATTGCTCCCTCCTTTTTGCTCTCATCACCCATCATCTAGGACCTAGATGTTTTCTCACAATCCTTAGAAAAGTCTTATTTTCTTCTGTAAGCCCAACACCAGAAACCGTACTACATCTGAGAATCAAGGGAACCCATTCCCTCCAGATCTGCTCCAGAGTATTTTTCAAAAAACTGAAGCCTGGATTGTACTTGTTAGAGAAATAAAACAACATTAGCAGGACAAGCCAAGTGAAAAGCAGGACAATCTGATTTATTTTTGGATCTA